GATCGAAAGTCAGCAAACAACTCTCAAATGATACACCATTAGACGGATCATCAATTTGATTAAAATATTATTCGTCCAAACTTCAAAGCTCAAGAGAAGGATATTCAAAAGATGTTATGCATTTTCTTGTGACAAACCCTTATGGGTCTACTTCTTTTTGCTCCTAATTAATTTGTATATCATATCTCGTGAACCGTTTATTTGGTTTTTGTAGGACCCTTTTGCTTTGTTAATTTTCATCGGTTTTTGTTTATATATTTTTATTTGAACAGATTGAAAACATGAACATGCAAAGCATTATCACCTGATTATTTCGACGGGTTAATTACACTAACATTCCATGAGGTTTATTGTGTTTTTACAAAACCTCCTCACGTTTGAAACATAACACTAACACCCCTTAAGGTTCTAATTCACTTTCACAAAACCCCTTCAGGGCCGACATTACCTTAAAATAATTTCTTAAAGACAAATTTACTCCATTATTAATTACTTTAAAAAATAAAAAAGGCTTCTTAAAAATACATATAATAATAACCCTTATAAAGAAAATAGATTTTTTTTTTGTTGGACTTCAGAAACATACAGTAACCATAATAATAAAAATAAATAAATAAATAAACTGAAAATAGAAAGCCACCTATGCATCTTCGGATCTTTCTCTCAATTTTTTTTTTGTTTATGTTCTTGTCCTCAAATCGCCACCTCCATCTCTTCGTTAACCTCCTTCACTCCTTGTTCACCCAAACTGAAACCAATTTCAACGAGAAAACGATATGGAAGAAAGCCTTAATTTCAAACATGGAGAAGAGTACTTGATTTGGCTTCTTGGAAGAAATTACCCGACCACATTCATACTCTGAAACTCCCAAAGGATTTAACAGGAGAAAGAGATGTTCTGCTCGGGGTTTTCCAATTAAGAAAAGAGGATTGGGATATGAATTAACAACGTAGATGAAGAAGGTAACAAGATTTCTTCAATTTTCTTTTATTTCCTTTTAATTGTTTAATGTAAGATTTTAATTGGAAATTTTATTCTATTTATTTATAAAAGATTTTTCATAAAGTAATTAATAATTAGGGCAAAATTGTCTTTAAGAAATTATTTTAAGGTGATGTTAGCCCTAAAGGGGTTATGTGAAAGTGAATTAGAACCTCAAGGGGTGTTAGTGTTATGTTTCAAACGTGAGGGGGTTTTGTGAAAACACGAAAAACCTCAAGGGGTATTAGTGTAATTAACCCTTATTTCGATACATACATATGAGAGCAATTATTTTTCATGGCAAGCATGATTCTCAATATGCAGAAATTATAGCAAATAATTTGGGTTTCGCAAGTAAATAATTATTAAAATGAATAATTATTTTTCAACATAGGTTAATACGTGAATACTAACAGGTGAATTCCGCATCCATTCAAATACTGTTCCTATTACACCATAATATCAATTGCCTAAACCCTAATTTAAAAAATAAATATCCACTTCCATAAGAATATTACAAAATAAATTAAAACCAGAAACATATGGAGGTTTCCCATGGCCAATTTGGCTATGCATGCCCATAACAGACAAAACCATATCAAAATTGTTGACTTAATGCTAGCTACCTTACTGTGCATAAAACAAATCTGCATGATACTACCTACATTACGCAGAAAAACATAAGCCAAAAATGCAAGAGATAGAGGAAGTCACAGTAGTATGGTGCTGAATTTCCTGCATTGTCGGCATAGAATGGCCCAAGGAAGAAGAAATGCATGTGCAGGGCACTACGTCAACAAAACAACCCTATCCATGTCAGCTGCTCAGGTATTTTCATTAGAAGATTTATCTGCTCCCATGGCCCAAAAAGTTTATTGTCTGACCAAACAACATAAAGTTTCAGCACATGAAAAAAAAAAAAATGTATATCCTAATTTCATATATCTAAGTAAGCATTTTCTTTTTGACATTTATTTAATGGGGCACTTCTATGATTTGGTCTATCTAGTAGCTAGAATGTTGTGACTCATAAGGTATGAATGCCATTTAATAATATTCCGTTTGCATTTGCTGAGACCAACTAATTAAATTTCCCTCATAAAAGAAATTGAGAGAGAAAAGGCAAAAATTCCAAATACCATTTGACAAATGATATGACAATTTATTGGTTTACAACTTCTCGTGCTTGTCACGTTCACGTATCAGACAATACAGTAATGGTTAGAATGACCAAGTTGAACTTATTCTTTATTTTTAAGTATTTTTGGCTTGAGTACCGGCCGTACTCACAACATTAAAACTATATATGATTGTTTCACCTCAAACAATGACATGACAATTTGGAACAAGAGCAAATTGCAATGCAAAATGACTAGGGATTTCAGACTACAAAACGTACACCTAAAACGTGCAACTTTGAGCCACAGCTGTTAAAGGGGCCGGGACTTGTACGTGGTTAGTCCAAGTTGTACTGGCTGTAAGATAAACTAAAAAAGATGAAACTGATGTTCGAGCTGCATTTGACAATTGAAGAAGAAGCTAACATATATTTTGAACCGTATATTGTTTGTTGCTAAATCCAACCCTTTAAATTAACTTAAACGTGTACTATTAGTTTGAATTCTATTTATGATCGTTTTCCAATTTGGTATTTTTTGCTTTGCAGTAGTGCACACGTTCGTTTGTTCTCTCTTTCCAGATCATTGAAAACTCTCAGTCAATATTTTGCACCTTTCAATTTCAGTATGCATGCATGCATGGCCAAAATAATCAAGAATAAATTAAACTGTATGTTGCAGCTCTGCTTTAAGGAATCACCATCTACGTGCTGAGAGTTGTCCCTTATTTGAAAAATATATGATCGTCTTCAATTCTGATTAGTAGGGTTTAGTTAGAAGAGACATCTTAGTTAAACCCTTGTTCGAAATATATATCATCGTCTTCAATTCTGATTAGGAGGGTTTTGTATTCTAGTTATAGGATTAAAGATGGTAGTGTTTTTTTTTTTTTTTATGCCCCGTAAAACTATTTTCAAGCAGCATACCTTTTTAATTAAAATTTTAAGATGCAGTTTTAGTTCTTGAAAATCACGTTTGAATTTAGTAACTTATGATGTCACGAGTGTGAGACCGTTGAATCACGTTCCCATTTTTCTTGTCGAAGATTTCCAATTTTCTTCTCTAAGATTTCCACGAAAAAAAGAATTGGGTTGTGAGGGACCATTTGGATCTTCCTTGCTCTTCAGCTTCACGGCTTTGACTATGCCCACCTACCCACGAGCTCCCCACCCCACGCCCCCCAAGTTCCAAGCTTCTGCTTCCAAAACAAATGGCTCGGCTTCGCTTGGCAGATCCATGCTTTCACAACCTTCACTTTTATATTTTTCTTTGTGTTATACTATTACTAAATAAACATTATGGTATAGATTATGGTGAAGTAGATTTTATTCGCACCTCATTACCTTGATTTAAGAATAAATAAATTACCTTCTTTTCATAAACCCTTGCAACATCTTAGTCTCATAATATAATTACTATAGTACATGAGGGCTTCATTGAAGGAGAAATTTTTCGATGTGCTTAAAATACGATGCGGTATACCATATATAATTATACAATTGAAGGAATACTTGAAAATAAAAACTTTCCATCAATTGTACAATAACGTGACTTACCGTCCCGTATTTCGAGCACATTGAAAAATCTCTCTCATTGAAGCAGCACTCAAATAAATGTGTTCTCCTTATATAGAAATGTCCTTGCAACGTTAACACATAAATATCCACTATGTCTAGTTGTGGCTTTCTTTGCAAAGAAGAAAGTTATCCCTTTTAAGTTTTAAAGAAATGAGAAATATTATTTCTTGTTGACAAATGTACAATATTCTTTGATAAAAAGGTGAAAGAACACACACAAAGAGCGAGGATATAGTGCTTTCATTTGGGTCTCGCACCCTACAATTACATAATATGAGGATCCTCTAACAGAAGATCAACAATAAAATTCAGAGATTCCTCAAACTGAATAAGCTCTTGCGCTGCCATTACTCCATACCTCGCCAACCTATGTTCAAGAAATGAAAAATAATTAACTTTTAAGAAGATGTTTTGGAAGCTCTATTGAAAAGGTTTAGCTCTTTAATTAACATTGGGTTTAGTTAATGCATTTAGGAGTGAAAGAAATTTCCTTAAAGATGGTATTCCAACTTCCATTGGCCATTTATTAGCACCAGAAGAGATTATATGATCAATATAAAAGAAAGAAGTAATAATCCTTGCAACTTGAATGCCTCAACTCACATTGAATTGAATTCATCACGAGTGTAATAAAAAAAATCAGATAAGTACTTATGAACTTAATCTACATCTATTAATCACAAATAAAATTGTTTTTTTAAAGGAAGAAACCTGTAATTTAAATAATAAAGAGTATTAATCTCGCACAGTTGCACTTTAATTTCTATGTTTACTTTTTGAATTACATATTTTTTGTATCTCTATGCAAACTTTAGCCGAGGTTTTTCTCATTCCGGACTTATTTCCTTTGATTCATTCAATTTAAAAGCTCGCTAAATAAAAGAGTGCAAAATGAGAAAACGAGAGTGTGAAAATCAGCCCTCAAATAAGATACTCTATTTAAGACAAATTGGCTAGCGGGTGTCGGCTGATTATACTTGAGCCAAGCCGGGGTGTATTAACTTGGAGGGAAGGTGTTGGTATTTGACGGTGCATATGTTTCCGAAAAATGAAAATTACCAAGAAAATGAAGAGAAAATGGCCGGCGGCTTAGGTCACACCCACCAAACCGGTCTCCAATTCCTCCACGCGGCCTCCTCTCTCTCTCTCTCTGGTCTCCCACATAGTTTGAAATGACATTATTGCCACTTTCCTCTGACTAACCTGATTCTCTCTTCAAACTTGATCTTGACTTGGCCACCTCCCTGTCCCTGTAGACTCCGGCTAACTTGTTCAGGAAGCTCCTCTCTCTCTCTCTCTCTCTCTAACCCTACCACTATATATACATGGCCTAACCCAATGAAACCAATCCCCCATCAGCATTTCTTCAACCTACACAAAACCCACAATCCCAAATCTCTCAACTCTCTCTCTCTCTTTCTCTCTCTCTCTCTCTCTCTCTCTCTGTGTACATTCTTCACTACCATGCCTCGTCTGACCGCTTTGGCACTGATTTTCTTAGTGACAATGGCCTCATCTGTGTCAACTCTAGAAAGCAGAAAGCTTTTGGATGTAAAGGACGATGCCGAGAATCAAAAGAAAGTGGCTTCTCTGTTTCTAAGTGCCCTTCCGAAGGGCAAGGTGCCAGCTTCTACCCCAAGCAAGAAGGGTCAAGCCGTCGTCGTCAACGAAAAGCTCATTGCCCGCCATCTTAGCGTCGTAAAAGATCGGATCCTGGCGCAGTCTGTTCCCAGCCCCGGCGTCGGTCATTGATTTGTACCAGTTATACATTCATAACTATTCGTTTCGTATATTTTTTTCATTAGTTTTCAAATCTCTATAGAATCACTACAATTTTGAAGCTTGATTAGGTATAAAATTGAAAGAGTTGAAGAGAAAATGTATAGACAGTGCAGATGTTATTTATTTCATTTTCTTTAATTTGTTTGGATTCATTTTTATAATCGGTTCTGATTTTCACACACCCTTGACTACTTGTTCCACATCCCTCCATATTTTTTAATATTTAATTTGTATTCTACTATTTAATCTTCTATATATACCCCTCTCTGTTTAATCTTTCATTAATTACCATCAAAAAGTAAGAATGGTATATATGAAAGATTAAATAGTAGGACACCAATTAAGTATTAAATAGTAGGAAATAGATGAAGAATGGTGTACAAGTAAAAGGTAAGAGAGGAACAAGGATTATTGACTTCTTCTTGAGTAATGAGATATCAAACTCGGAACTTCAGGTGCAAAGAAGATCAAACTCATACCTTGACTTGCATTTGGTTAAATTTGGCATCTCCTATTTAAGATCTCTCCAAATTCTTGATGATTCCATAAAAGCTATAATTCTTTTTTCTAAGTGGGTGGTGGAGGTTGTAACGTCAGTTGTTTCTGTAATTCTTGTTCATTTAAGTAGCAAAAAGTGTTGAGCATAACACTTTGGTCTCTTTGCCAAAGTTCTACAAATAGATCATACCAAAACAAACAAAAAGTTCCTAAAATGGAGATTTTTTCTTTTATTAATTGGGTGGGGATACATATAAGACTTTCATTGGAAGTTGAATTAAAATAAATTATTATCATTTAGTGTTGGAAAAAAAATGTAAATAAATAGTAACAATGGTAGAGAGATAGTGTATAAAATGGTATATGCCATTTGGCTCTAAAGGTGGTGAAAGAGAAATGACAGAAAATGCAAAAGCGCGTTTTTGGGACTTGCTTTTGAAGCAGGACCCTCACAAGCCGACTAGTTGTTGGACGCTCTTTAATAAAATGACATTTGGCATAGGGCTCCTGTATTGGTGAGATTTTTTAAGTGTGCTTGAAATACGGATTGTTACATTAAATATCATTATATAAATTGAGAGACACTTGAAAATAAATTTTTTTTCACTTATACGATGACGATGTATCATTCTTTGTTCCGAACATACTAAAAAATTTCTCCATTCGCATTCGACCAAGTAGAAATTTACAAATAGCATTTTTGTCATAATAAAATTTATAATGTGCATGGTTTTATTTGGGAATTTTTGAAGTGTTTTTCAAATAAACTAAACGTGTTTTGAAATCACGTCCATAAGGAAGATATAATTTAGATCTAAGGGTGCCACTTGCAAAGACACGCATCCATTAATTGAATGAGAAATAAGTAGAAAGACTATATGATGGGTATATATTATTCTTATGGGTAATGCTAGAGAGATCATGTGTTTAAATCATATTTTGTAAATTATATGACGGGGTAATGCTAGAGAAATTAAATACTAAACTAGATTTGCAAATCAAATAACATATTTGTTGGTGATTCAATTATTACTTAAGTATTGATTAACATGCTTATTTTCTATTGGTGACACATAATTATATGACGTGATTTTTGTAAACTATTTTGGTGGTGCATCACATAGTTTACAAATTTAGTCTAAAAAGTTATGGTTCGTTTAGAAGTACTTTTAAAATGATTGAAAGCGCTTATGGTGATTTTTTTTTTAATTAATCCTTAGTAAAAATCCAAATTGACCATGAAAAAACATTTGAAGTGCTCCTTGCAAGAAACACATATTTAGGACTTCTTTCAAAAAATGTTTTTGGAACTCAAAATCAATTTCTCCAAAAGCGCTTCAGTTATGTAAAAGCACTTTTATGATATGATCCGTTGCAAAAAAAAAAAAAAAAAAAAAAAAAAAAAAAAAACAAACATACAAACAAACGCTTAGTCTATATAGCATTATTCTTATCCTAGTCCTCAGGATTGACTATGGAGCTTGGATCAGATAAGCATGCACAATATTCTTAGAGTCTACAACTTTCTTATTTTCTCCAAGAATATCTTTTAAATTTCAAAGTCACGGCTTGTTAAATTCAAAGATCAAGCAGGTTTCACTCATAAGTCTATTCACATCTCTTGCTTCTGGCTTTCTTGGAATATGATCCAAAAGAAATGAACTTCGAAAAATCAAAGTTTGAAATTTGGCAGCCCAATTTGTTGTCATGTTTATGAAAGAATAGTCACTTCTACAGGAAATAATTAAAAAAAAAACTATCTGTTAACGTTAAATTATTTTTTTTTGGTTTTTTTTGGTTTTTTTGTTTTCTTTAATTTTTTATACAAGTGATAATAAAGAAGAAAAAAATCAAACCTAAGTTCACTTCAAGTGCATCAATAAATATTTGTTCAAAACCTATATTGAAGAAAGAAAAATCAAATTTAAAACCTCGGTGCATAATCTCAATACTCGAGTTACACAACCTCGCTCAATTTCAGTTTGATTAGACAACGTAAAAAATGACTAAACCAAGACTCAAGAACATCGAACTGGCTCTTGGCTCTTGTAAACCAACTAAAGGAATCCACAAAACTGCGCACTCATTCGTTAATTTAGACCTGATCATAGGACCAAAATGTCTCCACTTGGTTTGTGATTTTTGGCATACAGATTAATTATGTTTCCAAATCAATAATGCACAAGTGCTGCTCAAGTTAAATTAATATAATCGAAATATATAAGAAAAAACAAAAACCAAAGAAAAGTGTGGGTGCAAGCATGGCTCCCATATTTGTCATCCGCTGACGGCCATTGACTAAACAGTGGCGGCCTACATTGGGTAGCGCCACCTCTGGATATTTTGGTGGGTTGACTTTTTAGTTTAGAGTTGTACAAGACGTGGATTGTAAGTGAACCTAATTGAACAATGTCGCAAGGGACTTGTTGCACTTATTAAGAGCGTTTATCTATGCACCGACTTTTTTAGTGTAAAAATCTTCTATTTTAATGTCGTTGTGTACAAAAACTTACTTAAGCAAACACCAATTAACTTTAGCTTTAGGGATTTGTCTGAGTGGTGAGATGATTATAAAAAGTGTCAGATTCGATTCCTTCCAAGTAACCAAAAATGGCAAAAGGAATGCAATTTACTTTCTCAAAGGTATGCATCTCCGTCTAAGTTCAATCCACTCATACATGCCTATTTAGCGGCTGAGATTGAACAAGATTGAAATTGAGTACAAGTCGGTCTTGTAGAACCTATAACTGACTATTGTTCAAAATCTAAATTACAAATAAAAAATTATACTACAAGTATGAACAAGACATATTCCTGGTACATTCAATTTGGGTTGGAGAAACCCACCAAAGTTCAAGGCCTCATTTTTCCAGGCAAAAAACTGCAAACTAGTACAACTACTGAGCCAAATCATGGACTAATTAATAACAAATGCCTTGAGGAATTAGGAGCCTTGTTACTCCTATGACTTGGACCAGAAGGCAGGACAGGACGCTTAGAAAGAACATGATGAAAAACAGCCACTAGCCTCTCCTGCAAATCTAACAGCACCAGCCGAGGCACAGCTGCAGGTGTCTCCGAAGCGCCTTGGCTTTTATAATCCGGTACATTTGGTGTTGGGTAGGTTCGACTTGCAGATGCCATGGGCGCCAAAACTAAGAGAAATATTAATATACTGGTTAAGAAGAAAGAAAAGGGTTTCCGACCGACGGAGTGCATGATATAGCGTTTAGAGTTTTGGTAGTGACCTAAATAGCATGCTATATGCGGTGGCTTTTATATGCATGCAATGGGAGCAACTAAATGATATTGTACATAACGTGACTTCTTGGATAGACATTAGCATAGAATATAAATGAAAATTTGGAGAAATAAGATAACTAATTTCGTCAACGAAGATGTTTTCTCTCCATAATGTTCATGTTCTTGTTTGTAACCCTAACTTTTAACCTTGAATTTGGCCGATATAAAAGCTCATATTTCACAATCATATGCTAGTCAATGTGCATTTCTTTCTCATTTTGTCAATGATAAGATTTCAGCATCCTACTACCATCATTTCGATTTTGAAATTCACGAAAAAGTGAATGAAATGGTTTAATTGATAGATTGGAAATTTTTTTAGTGTTATAGGAACACGACCTGGTACATCAAAAGTAATAATACAATTGCTTAGAAATTAAAAAAAAAAATTCCAACTAATCGTATTATAACAATTGATGTATCAAGTTGTATTTCTGACGTACCGAAAAATTTCTTGATAGATTGAGCCCACGTTTGTTTCGTGAAAGCAAGCTCTCACAAGATCACTTCGGAAAAAAGTTACACAGTGTGGCTATCTTCCTAATTAAGTTCCTAATCACATGCTTTTGAGTTTTAAGTACCAATTCTTCTTTTTTGTTGTTGCACGTTGCAACATGCATGGTAGGGACAAATATGATTTGATTTGATTATTTGATTTGTCATTGTACTGCACTTTTGAAGATGGAAGTGCTTTTGGGATGAGTTGATGAGAGGCTTGCTCTGAAACCAATAATTTAAGAAGGTGTAATTCAACTAAGATTGCATGCATCACATACTTTTGGAGAGTAGAATGCAAACCAATCGAAGCACTAGCAGCAACAACCCAACAATCCACAACCACAACCATCGCTCAGATCTTATCCAGTGGACAAGCTTTAGGAGAATTTCTAATCAAAAGGGTAGTAACTGTATGATTTTTCAAATGATAGAACTAGGAAATTTCTATCGTCATTTCCGAAATTTCGTTCAATTAAATTCAAGAAAATCGAACACAACATCAACCGGCCTATTAGCTCAGCTGGTTAGAGCGTCGTGCTAATAACGCGAAGGTCACAGGTTCGAGACCTGTATGGGCCATTTCTTTTTTGCCTCATTTTTTACTATTTTTCAGCGAAGTTGGTCCTGTTTTTTCTCTTCACCTGGATTTGCCCTTTGCTTTGGACGAAGAATTAGCGAGCTAAGTTTTTAGCTTCTGTTAGGTGTTCCAAGCTTTTGTGGTTGCACTTTTCAGGCTACCGTCGATTGGTTTCAGCGATATTTCTCCGGCATGGAGAGCAAAGTCGAATCTGATATCGTTCATTTGGGATTTTGACAAGTCGGGTTCTTTTCTCGGTTTCTCCTTTCTTCTCTGCATCAATGCAGAGTTCCAATGATTTCAGTTGTGTTTGCTTCTGAATACTCATGCCATTTGTTTCAAACAGGCGAAAACGAACAATAAGAGTTTTGTTCTATCCTTATATTTGATTAGAAGAGCGTCTAAGATGTTCACACACGTGTTTGTTACACTGATACAAAACAAACTGAATAACCTCCAGTGTCTTAAAACACTCGTACACTCAAGCTTCTTAACTTTAACCAGCATGGGGACATGAGGTTCAAACACCCTCGAACGCAATGCTTTGGCTTACCAAATACAAGGGTCGCGGGAGTCAGATCCTCCATCCAGGGTTTTATCAACGACCTTCAAGTTAGACGTTGGTCGATCCCTCCTCGTAAAGTAAAAGAAGAAAGGAGAAAACATTCAGAAACCTGAACTTCCATGCATGTTGATTCACTCTTTCCTGAGACCGCCAAACTGGATTTTTATTCCTTGTCATATAGCTAATAGGCACAAAGTGAGCTCGTCAAAATGGACCGGAAAAAACTCACATAACCTGGCCAGCCATGATAGGAAGCGGATGAGGAACTCAGCATTACAATGGAAGAGGGTATCCGCGGAGATACGTGGAATCCACACCAGACTCCCGCTCCAACGCCACCCTCCCAGTCCGTGCAACCTTCAAGGAGGGGAAGAAAGAAATGTTAAGATATGAGGACCAAGCTCATGTGAAAACCTGAAAATTTATATGCTAATTAACTGATCAGTACAAGACCAACAAAAGAATGAGAAGACGAACCTCACAAATCCCATAGGGCTCTAGTAACTTCTGCAGTGCAACCATTTTATTCAAATCACCAGTAAGCTGAAAACAATCAAGAGTAAATTTTATTAGTAAGACTAGCAATAACAGCATTGGTAAAATTAAATACAAAAATTACGGCGAAATTGATCCTGTTCGAAGGTAGAACTTCTCAACAGATTCCGTTACACTAATTCATAATAACAATAATCACAATATGTAGATGGTATCAAAGTAATGCAGGACAAGGCTTCAACCTCAAGGGTAACTGTGTGATCAGATACATCAACAGCTTTAGCACGGAAAATGCTGGCAATATCAAGAACATCCCTTCTAGCAGTAGCGTTCACAGCAATCTTTATCAACATCAACTCTCGCTCAGCAAATGGTAAGTGAGTAATATCCCGAACCTGGAGAAACAACCAGCGTTATCATCCATGAAGGCACGAACAAATCTTATTTTGACAATAGCCTTGGAAAAACTTCATCATCTCAAGATTAAAACTCATTATCTCATCAATGTTGAATTGGGTAAGCATCAAATTATCAAGGCTGCCTATTATCAATGACTGAGATAACTGAGGAGCATATTTTGGTTCATCTACATATGGAGAGGGAAAAACAAAGGAAAAATAGATCCTGGGCTGTAGACTCGTAGTACTACTTCAGTCATCAACCCCAACCTTCCACATCAATCAGACTGCTACCAAAACAATGGCATTTAACTTGCAAAAGGTGATTAGAATCGAACATGCAGAGTTTCAAATGTGTAAGAGCTTTGTCAATAGATTATATAATTTGTATGATTGAATATTGTAACTCCATAACTATGAACAAAATTTGTAAATCTTCCAAATAGCCAAAATCTAACAATTTTCAGTTTTCTTTAATAGATTACTCAATCATCACCCAAAATGAATATTCTAAATTCTCAAAAGAAACTTGTGAACATGTAAGTTCAGCAACCCTCACCTCATGAAGATCTATTAACTTGTGAAGTTGCTGAACCAACTTGGAAATTGAATCCTCTGTACCGGGAACAACTGTTGTAATGCGAGAAAGGCCCTCCTTTTCTGCGGGCCCCACAGCTAGGCTCTAAGAGTTTGAAATGAAATCCAATAATCACATAAGCAAAGGCCCAAGAATACCAAATATAAAAAGTGAGCGCAGATCAGAACCAACAAACCTGAATGTTATAACCTCTTCGAGATATGACTCCTGTAACTATGTTTAGAACCCCAGGAGAGTCATTCACAATCATAGACAAAGTGTGGGATCGAACCCCACTTGACTGCATATAATGAATGCACAGGTTAGGTTTCAATTTGTAGCGTAAAGCAAACATGAATTAAGTATCTAGAGCCTACTTCCTAAGCAGATACATCGACTTTTTCCACCTTGTGTGTCTCATACAAGGCAATATTTGGACTTAAAGTGAAACACAACGTGATTTGAATATTGTAAAGAAACTTACATCTTCATCATAGAGAACACCCCAATGAGCATCAAGAACTTTATTCGAACGGAAATCATCATAGGGCTCCACAGGATAAACATCTCCCTGCAATAATGAAATGAGGTTCAATTATGTTCAATCCAAAATGGCCAAGGCAAGAGTAAAAGTTGTGCACCTACATGTTATCGTTGTAAATTATAACAGTTAATGGAGGACAACATACTTTGTTGTGCGGCATATAAATAACTAAACATTATCTGGAATGTATTGTGAATGGGGCACCCAATATATGATAGGAGAACCTCTTTCAGCCTTACTAAAAATGATTCCATATATATCAGAATTAAATACTATGCCTGCAGAGATATTAACCACGCATATGAAATCAGCTCGATAGAAAAAGAACAACATATATACCCTTGAGGCGGTACCAGCATCACTATTGAGTGTACCATTTGCTTTCACTGCAATGTCATCATCAGACATGGACTTTTCAAGATCGGGATAAGAAGCTGCAGAAAATCTCCAGAAAGGAGCTGTCGCACCCATCTTTTCTCGTCTCAAAGCAATCTGTTGGAAGAGTCAAATTGAACACCTCAATTAGATGATACTTGCGTAATGCACTAAAGATTGAAGAGAGAAAAAAAAGTGTCAACATCTAGACAGTAGCATAGTTACCTGACCACCCTAACATGCATCGTTTAAAATAAATGGAAATACATACGTGAAAACTGAAAAGAGAAGGACAAAAATGCTTCCTCTTGCATTTACATATAACACGTAGAGAACTTGATTGCAAGTTCAAAATGCATTTTGGGAGAAGATGTACAAGAGAAATCAAGCATTGCAGGAATACCATTCCATATTGTTAGTCGTGAACAACTTGACAGTTCAAGTTCTTTGGCCACTCAAGAACCGTTTAATTATTGGATATCGTACACATAAGAGTCACTGCATGGCGTTGTTTTAGAGGGTTGCACCCATTAACACATGCATAAATGGACATCTTTGTATACGCATAAACATCAGAATGCAAATATACAACTTGCCTTTCCAGTTCTTGCAAGTTCTTTGATTCCAAACTTGCTTAAGTTTCTTTGAACAGCAACCACCTTCCCAGGGTCTCCAGTAACCTGAGATGAACTGATTTTGTAAGCATAGATGGACTTGGTACCAGTATCACTATTAGAGGCCATACAAAAATTGCAAGTTTGCACATACTTTGTATAGCAAAAGGATATTGGCTAAAACAATTTATAAAATTTCCTAGAGCTACATATGTAGGTTGAGCAAACCAAACAACAAAATGACACCAACTGCTCATGAAGTAGGATTAAATCACATTATAAACAAAATTCATAGCTTCACCAGTTTAACTAATCTAACAGTGAGAAATTATTCTAAAATATTATAACGCATTGTCATTATGACTTACTATACTCCTTTTCTAGATAACTGTTGCATTGTTTTTATCAGAGAAAATAAGAAAACAAATAAACGACATAATTGCTTTATAATTTTACACCACAATCAACAAGAACTAGTGGATTATAACAAACTGTAACTGGTTTTTGCCTCATTAATCAGAATGTATCCTCCAGATAAAATTTTCAACAAGTTCGCCATCTGTAAGGTTGTAGGTGCCTGGGTGCCTAAGTTATAAACCGGGACAGAGAATTAAGTATATGTGCTAAAGTGACACCTAAGTTATAAACTGGGATAGACAATTAAGTATATGTGCTAAAATGAACATATCAACAAACTGCAACAACTAGTTGAGGCGTAAGGACCGAAATTCACCTCAACTGTCAGCGACTGTTCCGAGATATCAACAATTTTTGCTCTGAAAATGTCCACTAACCACATTATCTGAAAATGCACACAAGGGAACATTATCAGGTAAAATGATGACTAAAATGATAAAAGAGCATCTCAAACAGTGCTGATAACCATCAAACTAGAAGTTAACTTCAGTTTAATGGTTTAATTCCAAGAATTATCACCTGCAACAAATATAAGGTAACCACACCAGTGAAGCCTGCAATACATAACCATTGCAGAGCACAACAGCCTAATAGTCTAATACACACGTGATTGATGGGCCCAAAATCAGATATGTATATATAATAGAGATCAACCAAGGATGTATAACAAATCAACAAGTTCTGTGGAACAATTACATATTTTGGTATTATCTATAGAGAATCATACACGATGAATTAAAACCTCATATTACTGATGATTATTCTTAGGGTGGATCATTTAAACGTATCAACAGGAATAGGTCTATGCAAATATTGGTTGGATGGTCCAAAATTTACCTCTGCACGTGTACTTGGATCCGCATTAAGTTTGATAAGCATCAATTCACGTTCTACTTGTGGCTCCCTTGAGATGTCTTCGACCTGATACAGCAGAAGTATAAGTGAAGATAATGCAGAAACTACCAAAAGGTTTTAAAACAAAATACTAAAGATGTCCACTAACCTTTATCACATTCACCAACTTGTTAAGCTGTTCAACGACCTGTCGCAAAACCTTTTCAGTTCCAGACACAACTATGGTAAAAAGAGCCTTGTCCTTGTTCAAACCAACAGCAAGAGACTCGATATTGTAACCTCTCCTGGCGAAAACCCCTGCTATTCGGTTTATGATTCCACTCTCATCCCCAACAAACACTGAAATCGTATGGCGCTTGACCCTGAAATCATATTAGAATTGAAAACTTGAAATCACCCTAAAGTCTTTCCAGATTAAAAATTTCTAGCGCATTCATGACAAAATATCAAAATAGACTTCCAGGTCCACGACCTGGGATTCCAAATCATCGTTGCCAAAACTATAGAAATGAAGAACTAATCATTCCTCATTGACACAACCATCGCCTGTATTTTTTACTTTTGCTACACTTGCCATAAAAGTATAACTCCCAAATCAGTTTTTCACTCCATTGGTACATTCTTTTTAATTCTTTTTAACTGAAGTTCAAAAATTGAATATAAAATTTGGTTCTGGTCACTATCAAAGTCGATTTAACAAAGCTTTAAAAAATAAAAATAAAAAATAAAAACAGATTGGTTGGAACAATTAAATTATCAAAGCCAATACCCGCTGAGGAAAAAATATACATGTTGGTCACTAAATGTTAATAAATAAAGACAAAAATAACAATGTTAAAACAGTTCTATTCTAAACAAAAGCACTTAATCCAGCAGCTGAAATAGCAAAAACCCCTCAAATTTTCAGCTCAACCCAAGAAAAAAGCGAGCAAATTTCAACCAAAAAGGGCACAAAACTACCAAAAAATGAAAGCTTCATTGCATTCAAGGAAAACCCAGAAAGAATTGAAACGTAAATTAGAGAAAAAACAAATTTAATCACGAAGAGTACTCACTTAGAACTAGTCAATGAAGGCACAGAATCACTGACAGAAACAGCATTGCCGGTGCTAGCAGAAACAACCAGCTTCTTCAGCCCGCAACTCTTCCATTTGAGCGGCCTCTGGCGGCCAAGATCGAAGCTTGTGGAAAACCCATGCCGGAAATCCACTCGAAAACTCGGTTTCTGGGCCGCTAGTGAAGGGGAGCACGGTGATGACACAGCCGCCGCCATTGGTTGGTTGTTTGGAGAGAGAGATGCTGGCCGAAAGTGTTATATACAATGAGAAAGGTGCAGCAGACGAGTCAAATCTTCGGCACCCCCAACCGCTGCGAGCTGCCAATGCCCTACCTATTTGAGTGATACGTGGTCTTTCAACTTGATTTATTTTTAGTTTTTAATTTTTTTTTAAGAGATAAGTTGAAGAATTTAAATCGGATTTTAACTCGCAGCACGCCACGGCCAGAGATCTCGAAGAAAGAAGACCTCCGGAGCCACCTGGCAACTTTTGGCACGTGAGATTCTGAATCTCTTTGATGAACGGTGACTGTGGATTCGAATCAGCGATGGCCTTTCGCCACACAGTGATCGCGTGGGACCCACGATTGGACTAGGAACGTCCTTTTTTTCAGTAGAAAATTGTGGGTTAATCTAACAACTTCTTTTAAGTGTGTCATAAAATATCTAAGAAATACCTCAAGTTAACAAAGTTTCTTACTTTCCAAGAGCCAGAAAGGCATTTTGTCGTACCTAGCTTTAGATGCTTTGCAAAGAGATTATTTTTACGATTCGAATCTGTGGCATTTCTATCATAAAAAATATTTTTATTTTTGTGTCAAAAAACATCTACTCCATCAAAATTGCACAAACACAAGAGTGTGCTCTAATATCTTTTTGATCTCTCAAGGAATTTTCAATCATCATAGGTAGTTCAAATCTTTTTTTTTTTTTTTTTTTTTTTGGCTGAATGTATCACTTTTATTAATTGTCATTATTTTTTTAAAATATGTTGTCTCGTTACTTGTGCTTTCCAATGAAGAGCAGTTTTGTTATTTCTTGATTTATAAACGACTTGGGGTAAGAATAACATTTATTAAAAGCTCGTAACATAACAGAAGCCAAATAGAGTCAGCGACAATTATGTTATGCTGATAAGCTTTAACCAGCGCAATTTTTACTAGAAGTTATATTAGGGTTGTGAGGTCACGAAAATGCCTTTAAAAAGGGGCTTGCTTATATGACTTTTGATGCTCTTTCATAAAAAGTTTTGTAAAAAATTATGGAAGTGATACATCCTCTCTAATTAATAAGTAAGCCCTTATTGTTGGTAAATTATCAAATTAAATTATTTGGGTGGTATTTATGAAATTATTGATAGAACAATTTGAGACAGATTTAGGGCACCACATAGGCTGGGGAGTGTACAGACACCGAGAAGACTCCTGCAGTCCTACTAACGATGCGACAAAAAACATGAACACTTGTAACGGGAAGCTTAATCTTATGAACCAAAATCGTAGCTGCCACAGTGGACAATTGTGCTGCCAAGCCTCTCAGTTGCTTGTATAACTCAGTTTTCCCCCTAGGCATTGTGCTCTTGAGTTGCTTATATAATTCAGCTTCCACCTTGGCATTGTGTCAGCCTCCCGCCACAGATCAAGAAACCAACTGCTGCACCAAATCCGCCAATCACCTTAAACCACATGGATGGATTCTTGCAAGTGTCAAGTATTTGATTGTCAAGATGATAAGATACAGGAAACAGTAATAGACACATGGTTATATACAGTCAATAACTCACCACAGATTCTCCATTTCCAGAGTTTTTTTCTGTGTTGAAATACATAAAGAATAGTTCCATATAGGGATGGGCAACGGTTATGACAGGTGGGTAACCGTGGTTATTTACCCATAACCGTTTAAGTTTTTACCCACATAACCGTTTACCCATTGAGTATTTACATAAACGGGTATACCCATACCTATAACCGCATACCCATTTACCCATAACCGCGTACCCATTTACTTTTTTTTTTTTACCCGTCTACCCTTTTTTTTAACAACTTGAAAATTAAAAAGAAGTTTGTCATAATTTTTTTTTTAACTATTAAATACCGTTATAAGTACATTTAACATGTATTTTTATATTAACGGCAATATTATTTATGAATACAAGCAATGTTTCCCAATTATTTGACGGTCAATCTATTACAAGAATCATGCATGGTTGTGGGTTAATTAATATTCTTGCATACATACATACATACATACATACATACATATATATATATATAAGTACGCATCAATCTGCTAATAGGCTAATTTGATAAATATTTGAATTTTTATTTAGAAACATATGTTCATCGATCCAAGCCATTTAATCGATTTCTAATTTTGGGGTCAAATATTTATTGAAAACTCGAGGCCAATCAAATATATATATATATATGTCCGCATCATCTAATAATAATATGTTTCTAAATGCTCAAGGTAATCATTATCTTGAATTGGTCAAAGCTCTAAAAGACTCCAAAACAAAACAGTCGAACACTAATGCTTTAGCACGTATTAAACATTAGTCCGTTCTATCTCGGGATACTAAACCTAGTTAGAAACTTATTATTATTATTTTTTTTAAGTTTTACATATATTAAAATAAACGGTTAAATGGGTACCTGTTTATAAACCCATAACCACCCATTTAAATTTCACGGGTAAACGGTTATACCTATAACCATTTATTTATCTAAACGGTTACCCATAACCGTAACCGTCAAATTTAAATGGGCGGATAACCGCGATTACCCATAACCAATGGGTATTTGCCCATCCTTAGTGAGGATCTTCCTAACTAAACCCATCAGACCGTTGAAATTTTATCCAACGGCTACAATTATTATAACATTTAGAGGGGCCCCTGTTTGTAGCCGTTGGATAAAATTTCAACAGCCCAATGAGTTTGGTCAGGAGGATCCTCACCCTTTGCTCAGGAGAGGATTCTGATCTGTATGTTTTGATATGGGTCTAATGTATTGCACAGTCATAGGTAGCGTCTAATAAGTAGAGCAATTAAAGTGTCCATAATTTGAAAACAAAATTGCATCGATTGTCGTTGAATGTTTTATCATGACTCTTCCATAATTAACATGGAATTTTATGTTACACATCAAATCTCATCATTTCATAAAAAACTCTCATCTTTTTTAATGTAAAATACATCGTTGTATTAAAAAAAAAAAAACTTACTCATCAAATCTCATCGTTTCATCAAAAACTCTATCCGACTCCTGTTTTGAATTTTCCTCGCGATTCCTGCAATTTAGTATCCAAATTTGAATTTGAATTTGCATGAAGCTATGAGAACTACAAGTAATTTTACATGTTTTCGTTGAGTCGTTTACAACAGTAAGCTTCATTTTTGCTAGTATTTGTTACATGATTCTACTCTACATGATTCGCGAGCATTATACATTGATTGTCTTACGTAAGTAATTGTTCAAGAGGCTTTTGACATTGATTGTGCTAGCTTCGGGGGCTTTTAACATTACCAAGATGGAGGACTAAATCTTACTGTTAGAATCATGTAAAATTACTTATTCCACCATGATAGGTAGTTACAATACAATAGGTAGTTTAGCTTGTACAAGTACTTATATGGCAGGTAGTTCAAACTATAAAAGTACTTATATAATAGGTAGTTTAGATTATAAAATATCAGCTGAAGTCTAAGTTTATGCCGACTAATATTATAATATGATAGGTAGTTTAGCTTGTACAAGTACTTAAATACATGTAGTTTAGACTGTAAAAGCACTTATATGATATGTAGTTTAGATTATAAAAGATTAGCTGAAATTTGGATTTATACAAACTAATACAGTACCTGAGTTGAAAAAAAAATAGAAAAATAATATAACTAATAGTGAGGCCCCCCAAGAGATTTATAAGTGTTTGAAATTTTGGAAATGTTCTAAATTAATTTTAGGAAATATGTGGTGCGAATAGAATGACTCTAACTTTGACTTAAAACAAACAGTTTTTTGTGGAAAAAAATTGAAATTTTTAGCTTTAAGAAATATTTTGCGTTGGAGTTAAGAAAAATATTGCAAAACATTTGGATGTGATCCTACCGATTATTAGGTCTTGAAACTATTTTTTATTGATTCTCAAAGTGAGAAAATAGAAAATATATTTAAATTTAGGTTTTAAATCATTGATTACAAGTGTTTAAAAATGAATTATAATATATTTTGCATGGAAAAAATATATTTTGAAAAACACGAATATGATAGTTTGTTATTATAGTAAGAGAAATAAAAGAAACATTAACAAAATAAAAATAAATAAATAAATAAATAATTGAAAAAAAAACTGAAAAGGGATGGATCGCTATGAAGATAGCGACTGTTTTTGGATTAAGTCGCTATATTTTTAGCGATCATATCCAAAGAAAATAGTTAGCAAAGTACCGATCGTATCATTTTCTATTTTTTTTCTTTTTGTTTCTTTTTCCATTGAATAAGTATAGTAGAGTAAAATAGTAATCACAATGCAAAGTATCAACCTAACAACAAAAAGTGATAACACATGGAGTCCTATTCATGGACCTAAATAAAACAATAACTAAAAATTGGACTAATCTAATTGTTAGGCCATAAAATTGGGAAATGGATCATTTCCGGATCTCTTCTACCAAATCCATCCAATTACCTAATTCGGACCCTTGAAATTTAGTCAAACGGCTAAAATTATTATAACTTTTAAAGGGGCCCCCTATTTGTAACCGTTAGATCAAATTTCAAGAGCCTGGATTGATTGATTGGATGGATTTGGTAGAAGGGATCCGGAAATGATCTCTTTCCGTAAAATTGGACCTATTTCAAGTTAACTTATTTACACATAACAGATTTGTAAGGAATAAGTTAATTTAAACCACATATTAATGAAACTCTTTTTGTCGATTATAAGAGGGTGAAAAAACATTTTTGTCTTCTATCACAAAATAAAATTATGGACAATAAAGTAATTTACACAAACTAAATTTTACAGTTGTTTTTAAAAGTATCATTTACATGTAATCCTAACAAATCACCTACAAGAACTCCAGACTTTTACAGGTGTATTGTTTTATGAAACTTCGAATTTTTATGGCACTTATTTTCAAAATTTCAAGTTCGAGTTTAAATATGAACTCTAGGTTCATGATAACTGCAAACAAACACAATATACATATGTAGTGAACAATAATAGCTTCGAGACCTATGTATGAAAAGAATAAGTGTCGACCCAAAATATGTGGCTATCGTGGCTTGTAAGCCCAAAAGAGTGGTTGTTGGATTGTTGGGCAACAAAAGAGAAGTAAATGGATTAATA